ATAATATATATAGGAACAAATCCTTTAAAAAGGAAATACAATAGGTTTAAAAGCTATAAAACTTGTTACAAATCTACTTCGAATTTGATTACGTACATAAATATAGGTCAAATGATGAGGTGGTCATAAAAGATTTTCAATTATATTTCCTTGAGGAATTTTTTTTTTTTTCTTGTGGATTTTTGTTAATTTTTTTAAAAAAAAAACATTTTATACTCAACATTTTGTAACTTACGTGCGACAAACATTATTTCTATATATAAAACTTAATGAACTATAATGGTTAATGATCTAGAACCAATCAGATTTTATATTGATTATTTGTCTATTTGGTAAGAAAATCTGAAATTTTTATAGGATATAAAAATTTTTTTGAAAATTTAAAATGATGCTTAAAGATTTTCATCTTTGTTTTTCTTTAATTTAATTCAATATTCAATGACATTTTCTGTTTCTGATTGATGATTAGATGACTTTGAAATGATAAAGATTGAGAAGAAAAATTTAAGCTATGTATAAAATAAAAAACATATATAGGAAAAACAAAATTTCAGTGATATATTCTAAGCCTATAATCTAGTTAATTCATTCAATTCGAAAGAATATAATAAAAAAAAATTCAATAAAATATTGATTTAATTAAAATAATAAAAATAAATTCAGAAAAAAAAATAAGGAAAATTAAGGTTCTTCCTTTCAATCTCTTTCCGTTTTTTTTTTTAATATAAAAATTTCCTCTAATAACAATAACATTTAATTTTTCTTTTACATTATTATTTTCTTTGTTATATAAAATTATATATGCATTTACATACATATGTATTTAGTATTTATAAAAATTGGTAAAAATGTCCTTCGATTCAAGCCTCCTTTTTATCTTTATGATGAAAAATCTTAATTTCCTATATACATATATTGGCAATATTATCATGTACACACAAATATACGAACCAATAATAACATACACCACAAAAAAGAATTGAATTTAGAATAAAATAAGTTAGTATTGATAACATGTTTTACATAAGAGGACATTTTTTATATTTATTATAAGTGTTATATTAAAGTATTATAAAAAATTAATTTCTAATTTCAATTTAGTCACAGAAATGTGTAGGGGTCTGACATTTCAAAATTAAGTTTTTATTAGATTTTTCCGCCTTCTTTAATTCACAATGTTCTTCATTGTTTAAAAAAAATTTCAAATTTCTAAAAAAAATGGAAAGGATTATGTAGTTGTTTATGTTTTCTTACCGGAAAAAATAATGTTGTACTTTAATAAGTTTTCAGTAGGCATTGTTAGATTTGTGTATCTCCATGCTTTAATGAACTTCTCTCCTATATCCTCCTTTACCTCTTTAATAACCTTTAAGTTCTCTTTTGTAATTTTATGATTCGTTTTGTAAATGTGTTTCGGAATCATTTAATCGAAATTCCCTTTAGTTACAAGTTTCCTTGCACGTTTTACCTCAGTTAAATGTTCCTTTAGCCTGAGGTTGTATGATTCTCTTCGTTTATCCTATGTAAAATTTCTCGCAATTATTAATTGCATTTGATTTTATATGAAACGCATCTCTCATTTATTTTTAATTTATCCTTGACCAAACTTAACAAACTTTTTTGTTAATATTTACTGCTGGTTGCAGATATCCGGATAATACATTTTTTAGCTTTTTATGATCCTTGTTTTTCATCTAATTTCTTCTTCCTACAAAACATTGATTCGATTCAATTTTATTTTTTATTAATGGCACTTTTTTCTTTATACGCATACCATATATAACATTTTGCTCCCATTCAATAATATAGCCTTCATATTTCGAGCAGTATAAGTAATCTGTAAAATATGAATATATAATCAGATAAAATGTTAACTGTAAGCACATTTTTATCTATATCAAAATCGTAAAAGAAATTTTTTACATTGTTATCTAAAAGTGGATATAAATATTATGTAGATTTTATATTGTATTGTCATTATTAACAAGAGTATATGTGATGTATGATTCATATCATGTACATATATATTATATAAAATATTATGTCAGGGTAAACCAATTTGATTTATTTATAATTTTATAAAAATGTATAAATAAATAAATAAAAGTAGCTACATATATGAAAATAATACAAATAAATTCAAAGGTATTGCTATCATGCCTCATCATAATTGTACCATAAATTTAAACCAATAACAATTTTAATGTCTTTGATTGAAATTTTATTTTTATTTTCTCTTATACATCTTCTCTTCTTTGAGAAAAAAAAAGAGATCAATAGTATTTTTCAATGATTAAGCACACGTATTTATTTACTGAATTGCCTAAAGTTATGCTAAAAGATATTCTTCAGAAATTTGAAAGTTATCCAATTTGAATTCAATTCTACAAATACACTTTGTATAACAGTTATAGATTTCATATTAGTTTGCAATCAGATCAAAAAATGCATATATTTTTTTTAGTTAAAATTGTTGAATTCAATATATTTACAGATTTATATAAATGCAAAACTTGATAAAGTCAGCCAGACCGTCTACATTAAGGTTTATACGTTGATTTCCTTATTATTGGATTTTAGTTTCAGTCATTGTATTTATAATGTAACGCTCTGTAACTAATTATTTTTATTTCAGGACTTCAAATTAAATATCAAAATAGATCCACCATAAATGATAATCAGTTTTTACTCAACCATCCGATATTCATTTAAACATTTTTGAAAATTATTGCGGCAATATTTTCTAAATTATCAAACTGTTTTATATAGAACATCTAAAAGAAAAAATATTAGAAATGAAAAAATGAATACTAGTCATTCATATAAACTATTCGGTATATGTATTTGGTGGATTAAATTAGCCTATGGTAATTATTTAAATAAACTAAAATTATCATAGATATTATTATCAAAATAAACTAAATTTATTCTATTAAATTACTAAGTACAAAAACAATGAGTGCTTTCTCTAGGGGTTTAAATTAAAAGAAAAATTGAGGAAAACATCGAATCTACAGGTAATTTTCAAGTGAATTGATTAAAACGTCATTGCTATTATTTGTCAATTAAGTATAATTTCATACATTTTGGGTCTTTCAATTGAGTGGACCAATATGAAGTTACTCCCTAACAATTTTCTGTAGTTACATATTCTGTACTAATTTTAATTGAAGTTGGGGTATTGGCATCAGTAGGCGAATTGAAAATGTCAAAAACCAAATAAGGAAGCCAGATAACCAAAAAATTATCTTAAATAATTAAATCATCATTATAAAAGATTTCAATATATTAAAGCATATTTAAAAAATTTCTAAATAATTTTGATTTTGATTACAGTTTTCTGTTTAAATCTCATATATTATATAATACGATTATAAATTATCAGAGTAATGGTAAAAATATTTTATGTTATGATTTATGATGTTCCATAAGTTATAAATTTTTTATCTTTTTGTTTTCTTTTTGTGAAATATTCTTGCCTCGAGGGTAAAATAATAATAAATTTCATTAAACGCATTTTATAAATCCTTATTAAGATGTTAAATCTTATTATGTATATTTCTTTTTCGTTTAAGAATTTAATAAAAAAAAAAACACTTGTGGGAAAAAATATTTTGCCTATCGTCCGGACAGATTTATATTGAAATAGATCAATGCATCCCTGTGTAATTTAAAAATCAATGTATTAGGGGTAGAACGTGTATACATTTAAACCCCCATAACATATATGTACATACGTATCAAAAAAAAAAATTTGATTAAAATTATATTATTAATATTATATATATGTATATATAAAAAGCAATAATCGTTTGGGTCACACTCAAAGTATTTTCAATTATTGTAATATTATTAGGCTTGTACATAAAATCGTTCTTAAATTTAGGAAAAAATAAAAATTGATTTCCCTTACTTTTTAAACAAAATCTTCTCTATAAATTGAAATTCTTAAAATGTGGCAATCTTCTAATGTGAGCACGTATTAAACCATTTTTATAATCATGTACACATATACTAAAACTAGATAAAGCTTAATATTATGTATATAATATAAATTCTATTTTATTCTATTCTTTTTCTATTCTATATAACTAAAATCAATTGAATCGGAAAATCAAACAAATTTTATTATAAAATAAAAATTGTACTATACAAGAATAGAACCAATTTAAAAGATTCTCATAATATCTTATTTAATATATAATATATATTTAAGGACCTCATAAATGGATACTATTTTTACAAAATGTTTGCATTATTATGTCTTAAAGAATATAATTAAACTTATATTATTAGGAAAGAAGAAGAGTAGTATTGGTTTTAAAATAAAGGACGATAACTCATTGTATAATTATATTGAAAAACGTTTTAGTATAATTTAAGGAACACTTCTAAAATAATGAAAAATGTTCTTCATAAAAAAATAAATGGCATAAGAGAACCAATTAACCTTTTTTCGTTTGTTAAGACATACGAACGAACGAACGAACAATCATTATCCACTCATTATTATGCTTAAGAGTATACCAAAAATTTCTTAATATTAAAGACATACGTTTTTTAAAAAATATCCGTTCGTCTGTGTGTCCGCTTGGTAAATCTAAAAAATATATAAAACACATATATTAATAAATTACTAACACAGTTTATTTAAAATTTTAACTTAACGTTCAGGGTTGAAAAGATTCTTAATAACATTCTGCGGAAAAAAATATTTCAACTGAATTGTCGTATATCACACGGAACCATAGAACAAACTCTATGAAATCATAAAGCACTCCAATGCCTTAATCATTAAAAAATGTACGAAGTGATATATATCAATTAGCATTTCAACTATGATATTTTAACAAAAACTAAACGCACGTGGATGCAAAAGTCATAATTAAAATCAGACTTTGAATTATTTTTTTGATCAATCAAAGTCCTAAAATTTTATTGGGTTTTGTTAAATTGAATTATAAAAGTAAAATGCGCTCATTTACAAGCCTTTGATTAACTCGTACACTATAGATTTTTTTTTTTTGCTTACACCAAAAATACCTATTGTTTTTTCATCCTTTTGACAATAATCTTCCATTTCTTCTATATAATCATAGTTTTAAAAAATTAAACCAAATTGAGATAACCATCAATATTTATTAAGCTCTTTGATCCTTTTTGCTTTTGCTCCTTCATTCTCTATATTTCAAATTAGAATCCTAAGGGCAGAAAACAACATGAAAAAAAAAATTAAAGATTAATTTGTTAAAAAAATTTTTATAAAAGTATGGAAGAATTTTTTTTTCTTAACCAAGTTATCATACGGGATTTGTGATTAATCGGCATGCTTCAAATTCTCTTCCTTATATACAAGTATATTTGTATATAGGAAGAGGTTTAGATTGCCGAATAATAAAACAATAATGTTTTTAATGAAAATTTCATTTTTTGGGTTGATTTAACTAATTTAAAAGCTTATTTTTTACCTCTTGCCAATTCTGTTAATTTTTTTGTTTGAGGATATTCTATACATTGGAAATTTTATATTTAATACTTAAGGATATTCAATTCTTCTCTGATATTTCACTTGTATTGCCCTTTTCCTTTTGTTGTTTTTTGAATCTAAAATAGCTATAAAAGTTCAAAAAATTATTAAACTTTAAATTAAAATGGAAAATTAAGGAATTTAAAAATTTTTTATAAAACAAAAAAAAAATGGGTTTTCTACATGTTTTAGCAATTCAAAAGTATTAAGAGGATTAACAATTTCAGGAAGTGGAAAATAAAATTCAAAATTTTAATTATTTCTTTTTAAAAGTAACGCTATTGTTGAAACTCAAATGAAATTGTTTTAAAAAATAAAAGAAAAAGGTTCTTTTCATTTTTTTGAAATTGTTATACAAAATGAATTTATTAAAAGAGTATAAGTAAAATTTTTTCGAAAAATTAATTGAATAAAATTTAAATGAAAAAAAATATTTTGAGATATTTAAAGTATAGCAAAAATTTTATAATAAAAATTGTTTAGAAATAAAATTTCAAATTTTATCTATATATATATGCTTCACATCAGAGATCCCTAAAAATTTTTTATTAAAATCATTGAAAAGTTTTTTTAATGTGGGTGATTTAGAATTAAATGGTTTTGAAAGTCTACACTTTTTCGTGATATTTTGTTTTGTTATACGAAAAAGTTTTTACAGTTGTTGCAGGCTTCATGTATCTTCATATATTTTATTATATTTTCGTAATCCATAATCGTGAAAACTCTGCAGTGATTAAAAAAAAATTTTGTATGTGAATCTTTTTTTTTTGTCTTATATTTGAGAAATTTTGAGAAAATAATTAATACAATAATAAAGCATTAAAGAAAAAGAGGAAATTTTATTTACCTACAGATTTTACTAATCCTGATTGTATTTGAAATAGCTCTTTTAAGTTTGTCATGATAACATGGCAAAATTAAAAGAATTTCATGGCATTAATGCTAGCAATGAACAAATATAAAGCTCATGAGTCGTGTATACGGATATGTTGTTCAACAATTTACTTCAACTCAAGATTGAGTTGAAGTAAAATCAACAAAGACTGAGTTGATCAAAATTTTAACCGCATATGAAAACTATTTCATATTTTTTAAAATTAATTACATATACATGAAAAGTTTTATTTCAAAAAATTTAAAAAAAGTTGTTTTGTAACAATTTTTAAATTAAGACTTTTTATTAATATTGTTTTTGTAAAATTTTAATTTTTTTTAAATTAATTTTTATTTTAAAATTTATTTCACAATGAGCATATTATTTTTTATGAAATTCAATGTAAGTACAGTAAAACCTGTGTGAGACGAAACGGCACAAAAATTTCGCACAAAAATTTCCGTTTAAAACAGTTTTCCGTCTTAAACAAGTTTGTGACAGAATTTTGACATATTGCTGAGAGTAAAAAAATTTTTTACATATCATTTCATTTATAACGTAGGTACACTAAAATTGTTATTTATTTACATGTTATATAAAACCAATTTTAAAATTGTAAAAAAACAAAAAATTTAAAAATTAAATTTTCTTAAACTTACATTATGTAGGCTTCGTATATCTTATATCTTATGGATGCAAAGTATTATTTTGGCATTAGTTAGTACTGTACTCCAATATGTCTATTTCTCTTAAAGGGTGATTTTGATCTGATTTTTTTTTCAAATGTTTCATGCCAAAAAAGAATATTCCGTTATAGGCAGATTTTCGTCTTAGGTTCCATCCTAGACAGGTTTTACTGTACATACCTACAGTTAATTAGGTTTTTATTAAATAATTAATTTACAAAAGAATAATCTGATTGTCTTGATCAATTAATGAGATTGTATGTGGGTTACAAAAGCTTAAAAAATAGAAATTCAATATTATTTTCATGATCCTGTTAATAGTTTTTTCACGTGCTTCAATTTATACTGAAGATACAATTATTTTTTAAATTAAATTCGAAATTTTTATCAATTTGTAAAAATGTATATACCATTACGGAAACTAATTAGTTGTTAATTAATAGTTATAATTTACAATATCTTAAATTTTAATTGTATATTGGTGATTGAGAAACAACTTTTTCATAACAATTATATTGTTTTATTTACAAGAAACATTATTTGAAAACTAATTATTGAGCATTAAAATTTATGACATTAAGTATATTATTAACGACGGAAATAATTAAAGTTCTAAAAGAAGTTCAGATTTTTTGATAATTTTGGATACAAGCCTGAAGAATTATACAAGAAAATTTAAAACATATGGAATTGTTGAGTCGGTTAACGAGAAGACAAACTTACTTCTAGAAGAAGTTTGATAGCCGGATTTTTAATTTTTCTGCCGCCTTCTTTCAGTCGGCTTTTCGCACTCTGATATATAAGTGTTTCTTTTATAATACAGTGAGTGAGATGTTCGAAATTAAAGGTGTTAATATTATAAAAATCTTACCGCATGCAAGTTTTCCAATGCACCTATGCTTTTTCACAGCATTACCATATTTGAGGATCTTTTAAACTCGATATGACGGCTGATATGACAGTGGCAGGAAAGTATCAAAATACTTAATTTCGAAATGGAAAGTTTAATGACAGACTGCTCTGGGATGCTTCTTAATAAATTCAAGTGCCGTTTGCTCCGCAAGCTACCTTTTTATATTTGATTTTATATACCTTAAATTAGTATATAACTTGTATGGACCTATAAATTTAATAGTTATAAAGAAAATATCGTTTAAAAATTATTCAATTAACAAGATTTACTTTTAACTAATATTTTTGTCAAATCTTTTTGTTTATAAAATTTACTTTGTATTTATGTACATATATATGTATAGCATAAAATATTATTTATGAAATACATATGTACATAATGTATATTTTTATTTTCTATACTTATAGCTACATAATTTAAACTAAAAATCAAGGACGAAAAATATACGTACCAAGTGAAGTTTTAATAAATTTGTTTTTTAATTGCTTAAAGTAAATTGAAAATATTAGAACATCTTTATTCAAAAATTCTGAAAAGAACAATTTTGTATATGTATATATATGTATATTTTTCCATTCAATTGATATTAAGTTTCCTGTTCCCATCATCTTACTTTATCGGTTAATATTTAGGAAGTAAAGAATATTTGCTTGAAAACAACTTTTAAAAATTTAAGAAGATTAAACAACGTTTTTTGTAGTCATTTTTTATTTTATTTTTCTTTTAATTAAATCGTAGTTATTTTTTTTCCTTTTCTTTATCTTTTTGTTTTTTCATTCGATTTTTTTTTTCATAAGGAAATTGAAATATAAAGCTTTTCCCTGTTGTTTTAAGTTGTTGTAATGAAAATCAAATGCTTTGAACAAATTTAGATTTATAATCGGTTTCCACGATTATGATGTGCACTTATCAGTAATTTAATAATCGAATAATGAAAATGTAGAGATATTTATAATTATTTTTCCAAAAAATGTTGGAATTTATTTGAGAATTAAATTCAAGATTTTTACACAAAATTTCAACAAATATAAGCAGCGCTAAAATAATAACTGAACCTTTTAATTTTACTGGACTGACTAATTTTTGTTTGGAGCATTTGACATTAATTATGAATATTAAAGCCACCTACAGGTTAATATAAAAATAAACTTACAATTAAAATTAACTGGGTTATTTTTTGGCAACGTCAAAGTTCATGTTTAAACTAATAGAACTTTTCAAAAAATTAAACTACAATTAATGGTGAAAAAGAAATTCTCCAAGCTTATTATTGTTTACAAAGCCAATCGAGTTTAAATTTAATGTGCATCCGTGTGGTGATATGGTATTCTATCTATTAAGGAATTTAAGTAGGTCTAAATTTATTTTTTTCAAAGATAAAGAATGTTTGATAGTTCAAATAACTACAAAAATTAGAATGGTTTAATTAAAAATTTCATTTTGAAGTGGTTTTCTTTATTAAATAAATTAAAATAAAAAAAATTATTTTAATGGTTACGCGTTTTGCAATATAGTTCAACGGTCTTAATGAGCACAGTGAAACGGTGTTGTGCAATCATCTATTTTCTCCTTACAAAATTAAATTTTTATGTTAACTTTGTACTGAGATGTCAATGTGTGTAATAATGTCTTATAAGTTATAATATTTTGAATATTACTTTATATTTTCTGTATTTTAAGCTAGATGACTTACAACATTTTTTTTTCTATTGTTTAACTGCCGAAAAATTATGAGCTTATAAAAGTTTTGACGTGTTATTAATCGATTTGCAGTTAAACGTTACAAAGAGTATGAAGAATTATAAAAAATTACATGCTGGAAATTAATATATGTACGTCATGCATATAAAAGATTTTTGCTCATATGCGTGCTTGATTTTGAGTTCATTATAAATTTTATAATATTTTTTTTAAAGCGAAAAAAGTTATTCAATTTTGATGTTTTACAAAAATATAAATTTGTAGTTTTACAAAAATAGTAATCGTATATAGACATATCATTTTGATACGTAATGTAACCCATTAATTAATAAAAATTATGTTAAGAAACATAAAAAACAAACCCTATAAATTGAGTTTTCATTGCAAAATGGTTAAGTATGGCGACTTCAAAATATTCAAAATTGACTGAAACGTGTATAAATAATAAATTTGTTGTGACACATTGTTGTCATTTTATTAATTGGATTCTACTGTATTAGAAAATTTTATAAATAAGGTATATGTACTCATACTTTCTTATACAAATTCATGTCCTATATACATATTTACATATATACTATATATATACAACAATTATTGTATATTATTTAATTTAGTAATAAATATTACAGTTTGAGTAAAAAAAAACATATTTTCTCTATATAAACTGTTTGTATACATAAGTATAAAATATATAGATACATATATTATTATATACCTACTTGCTATAGAAACACAATGAAACAATATTAAATTCAAACAGGATGGATGAAAGTGAAATTGTTTTAAAAATAAAAAAAAAAATTGAATTTTTGTGTTTTTCTCTTTTTTCTTTTTTAGAAAAATTTTTAAATTAATTAAATTCAATAATAAAATAAAAAGGAAACGGAATCCAAAAGAATAATGTAAAATAAAGTAAAAAAAAATATTGTAAAAATAATTAAAATAAATAAAAAAATAAATAAATAATTAAAAGTAATTAAAATTTTATCCCATTTTTATTGTTAAAATAACTGAAAATCAAAAAAATAAAAAAATAAAATATAAATGAGCAAAGAAATATTTGTTTTCTATTTAATTTAATTACAATTTTTCATATTGTTATAATAAATTTCAGTGTAAAATTATTATTTTTAATAAAATATTTAAAAAAGAAAAAAGAATTTAAACAAACAAAAAATTAAAATAATTAAAAATGCAAGTAATTGTTAGATCAATTCAATTGGTTTGTCTTTCATTTTTAACATGTGATTCATTATTAAACAATGAAAAGGAAAATAAAAGAATGCTATTGGTGTCGAGATGTTGTGCGGCATGTACTGAACAGAATTTACAATTGGTAAGAATAAATTTAATATTTTTTTTCTTTTTTTTTGAAATTTTAAACAGTATTTAAATTTAAACTAAACTTTTTTCATTTCTAACAATAACTTACTTAAGTTTCTTTTAATATTTTTTTTTTCAGTATATTAAAATTACAATATCAAAATTTTCTTTAAAACTTTTTCATAAAAAAAAAAATTTGCTAGTCTCATTTTAAATCTAGTTTTAAAAGCTGTATTTTATGGGGTTATGTGTGTACGTGTTCATATACATGAACGTACTAATGAATTAAGACATAAATTCCTAAAAGGTACTCTAACTCCTACATAAAGATGTCTGTAATTAAGAATATGCCATGATTTGTATACCTTGTGTTTTTATATTTTCTTTATATAGGAGCGCGTTTGATTTTCATAATTTACAAAGCATATTTTCAATAATTTATGTTAGTAATTTTAGAATAACAAATTTAATAATATGAAAAATTCTTTCATTTCTTAATTACAACTATTATTGAAATTAAAATGTCATACATATACATATGTATATAATTAAGTATCTTCATACAAATGCATTGGTAACTGGTTTAGCTTATTTTATAGAAATATATTAATTTATTTCCATAAACGAAAGATAGCATTTACACATCAAGCAAAATTTGACGAATAACTTTGACAATCATTAAATTGGATGAGAAATTCTGTTTACACATAAAATTTCATTTGATCAAATATGCTGTCAAATTAAATTTTTTTTTATTTATTTCGAGGTATTTCCATGTGTAGGAATGTGTTACCTTCGATTTTGATTGACTTGATGGGATATCAAACATTTATCAAATTTCCATTTAATCAAATGAATTCGTCAAACTTTGCTTGTTGTGCAAGCGCTATCTTTAGTATAATAAGCCTTATACACGCCTAATGCTTCACTCAATTTTAAAAAATTATTTTGGCTAGAAGTAATAATATTCAAACATATATTTATACATGTATGTTCGTACCATATATTAAATTTCGCATTTCAAACTTATTGATATATTGTTAAAAAATTCGCAAAAAACCATGTGGTGAATATACTCTACTGGATATTTTAACTTTTTGTAACGATTTTGAATTCTTTATTTATTGTGTTGTTTAAAAATTTTGATTAAAGAGTTTTTTTTTTGTAAATGTTTAAATGGAACATAGTTTTCTGACTTACAAAAAAATATGATTTTCCTATTTATTTATTTTTTAAAAAAATGCAGTAAACGATACATAATTCAATATATGTATATATATATACATACTTACATACATAAATTTCAACGTTTAATATTTATTTAAAAAATTTATTTATTTAATTGAAGTATAAAACCCTGATTATATAACTTTTCATTTATTTCGGAATAAAATTGTGTATAATAATTCAAAATGTTCATTTAAAAAATGATTGTCATTCTCAAAAACTTTTGAGGTTTTGAAATTTTTGAATATTTATATGTATGAAACTATGTACATATTAAATAAATAGAAAATAGCAATTTTTCTAGTCGTACTAAAAATCATGTTTGTATAAAAGTTAAATGAGCTTTTAATAAAATTATTTTGGTGCAGACACTACTTTTCGGTTTAATTTCCTGGTCTCAACTTTAGGGGATACAAAAGTAAAGGCTTTTAAAAATATTACTTTTCTTTTATATTGTATGTATTTATGTATTGTATGTATGTATGTACAATTCACTTTAATGAGTTTTTGATAAAACACATTCTGAATATCTAATTTTGGATTACTTTTTCAAGCATTGAACATGGTGAATAGAATAAAATAATAAACCTGGTGAATTTGCGGTAATTTCAGCTTCTCTCTCTGGAAGCTTCTTCTCTCTGGTGTGAATCACCTTCAATTTTAATATAGATTTTTTCCATTTTATACTTCAAAAAAATGATATCAAATTTCATTTAAAATTTAATAAAAGCAATGAATGAGAGATATGAGAGCGTCTTTAAAAGTAGATCGTCTTAATGCGACGTGCCAATGTATTCACCTTAAGAATAAAATTCTCTTTTTGTAAAAAAAAAATTTGTTTTACAAACTTTAATTGTTTTTCTATGTTTAAGTAATACCCAAATGTCAATTATCATTTGAATGATATTGTCCAGAAATCTTTTGACAATATTTTGTGTTTTGTTTTAAACTCTTACCAAAATATTTTGTGTATTGTTTCTAAAAATGTGTTACCGCTATAAACGTAAAATTCTTAATTCTGTTTGCAATTCATGTTATTTAAATTTTTAAAAAGAGAAAAAAAAACAACACCAAAAAATTTTTATGAAATATTCCAAATTGTTGTTTTTCTTTTTTAATTTTTAGGGTATTGTTTTAACATCATCTGATAACTTAAAAAACGCTTTTTAATGGTATTCAAAATATAATTTAAAAACAATCTATATAATATAGATGGCGTTTATTTGCATTTTTACCATGATACCTATACGTATATAAAGCGTGTACATTTACTTTATAATATAAGACGTTTATATAGACATAAAACTTAATACATTTTACAAATAAATGGTCAGAATTTTAAATAAATTCAATATGAATTATTAATAATTTAAGATGATTTTGTAAGTTTTTAACGAGCAAAATAACAAAAATTTGAATAAATTTTTAGTTTTTTTCTCTTCAAAATTTTATTTTGATTCTATTTTTTTACGTACTTGACGTTGTACCAGCGTACAACATCAAGTACGTCAATATATTTTTTATTAATTCAAGCCATAAACATTTTTTTATTAATTCAAGTGCGAAAAAAGGTTTTTTGCGTAATAGATTTTTAATACAATTATTATTAAATAAACACAATGTTAAAACGTATTGCTTACACAATATTTTGTAATTGAATAATTTAGAAAAAAAATATTCTTCATGTATTTGGAAATGTTTATTTGTAAATATCTCATAAAAACTTTACGTACCTAACTATATGTCAAACTTAAATCAAAATATTAAAATTACTCTGTTATACAGCGTTCGTAATTTGTAACGTAATTGTAACACATTAAATTGTATCACTTTATTCCACCATACATGTATATAGGGATTTTATAAACAAACACCGAAAAAAAACAATAAAATTAAGTGAGTTTTTATACCTATGCATATGGTAACAATTTTTTTTAAAGCTTACAAAAAAAAAAAACCAAATTTTGAGTGCGTTATTTGTCTATGAATTAATTTTTATAAAAAAAAAAATATTTTACGTGTAAAAAGCAAAAATTATAATTTTCATCAAACAGAGCACGTTCTGCATGGTTATTGTGGCATATGTACTTACACGTACATATATGTAAGTATATAAAATGGTATGTGGAATAGAAATTTCATCTCAAATTTTTCAATTTAGGTGCGATTTCATTTTTAGTTAAATAGCAAAATGTCAACGGTGAAATTAGGTAAAATTTGGCAAATGAAAACCAAAAAGTAATAAGATATAAAAAAATTTGTCAATACAATTGTACTATAGCAAAAATCAATTATCAATTTTTTATGGTGCAAAACCTCTAACTCCAGAAATTCATAATTTTTAGTTATTGCCTGAAATACTATTTATTCTTGAAATCTTTCTCCTCTAATTACTAAGTTTTTTAAATCACAAACCGGGTCGAACTAAAATACTTTCATTTACGAGTGCTATACAGAAATTGAATAAAATATACATACTTACATATTTCAAAATTTTAAAATTGTAATACGCTATACCAAAGGCCGTCTCCTATATAGCAAAAATTTTTATTGTTGAAATATTTTGTAATATTTTACAAAACTGAAAACATTTTTCTGCACGTGCTTGAATTTTAAATATATGTATTACGATTTGCATGATAAAAAAACGAAATTAAAAATTGAAATAACGCGTACATATACATATATGTACATCGGTAACCGATTTCTAAGGGTGTAGAAGATATTTAATATTAATAAAAAAAATTAAAGGATAATAAAAAATCAATATTTATTCAATTTGTGAACATTAATTGTTCATGCAAACAAGCATACTTATGTGTATAGACTTAGTATGTAAATAAGTTTCTAACACCGAAATTTAAATTTTATGCACATACAATCAATTGGAAAAATAATATTTAAATCACTGTAACAACAATGTGGTACAGAATAAGTATAGATGAATTTTTGTTTGTTGCCAAAAAATTTTTAAAAGATTTTAAGAATAAGACAAAAAAAAATGGGCTATTCGTTTATCTGCCCAAGCAAAAGCAATCAATTTGCTGAAATCTGACAAACAATAGCGTAAAGTCACTACTCTCATGACAATTTGTTGGGATGGTTAACAGTCCCGTTTATATATAAACGAAAAAAATATAAGAATAAATCTTCGATAAAGTTTGATGACTGATCCGATCAAAATTATCTGATGGAGCTCAAACATTATTTCAAAACTCAATAATTTTGCTAATAAAATTATAATAAAAATAAAAATAAGCAATGGTGCCATTTTACTTTAAATACTTCTAATAACAATGGTGTAGATTTTGTCGTATCATACAATACATGGATTTTGTCGTACTTAACAGTATAGCAGTAGTATAGCAGCTGTCGTATAACTCAGAAATAATTGAATTACATATCAGAAATATGTCACCTTCCAATATTGAAGTTTCCTTTCTCCGGTGTTGTATAGCTTCAAAAACAATTCAGTTATACTTCGCGGTTAAAAATTTTTTTTACCTTTGTTCATTCCTGCTGGGGAAATATATATATAGGTACATTTTTTCTGGTCACCATTTTCCATTTAATTCAGCCTTCTTAAATATGATTCACGTGTTACTCCCATAAATGGAAGTCTACCGCGTTTCTTTTTAGGGAAGAAGGAAGGCGGGTAGACTCTGCCAATAATTCAGTACCTACCTGTTTCCAATCAAATACCTGTCTAGCTATTGTATTATTCGGCTCGGTTGCGTGAGTCCCAGCCATCTCCACTTTTTTTCTTACTCAGCTCAATATTTAAGC